TGACCCACATCAAGTAAAAATAGAGATGACAGAAGTGTGCGTCAGGGCCCATCATATAATCATTCCTATATGTTAAGATGGTTTATCTATAACCCATCATTTGTCACTAGGCAACCTCAATCATGAAAAGCACCATTTTTTATGCAATTTATCCCTTTCAATATCTATTTTAGCAATTTTATACCATAAAAAATTACTATCAGCTCTAAAACTTATCTTGTATAAATTTCTAAATTAATGAAGCCCAACTAAAAATGAAAACAAAAGTTTAACTAATTAATGATTAAGTAAATAATATTTTTATATATAAAATAATTTTTTATCGTAAACACATGAAAGAAAAAGTTAAATCAATTTTCTACTAATTAAAAATAGTTTTTGTATGAGATAATTTATAAAACCTTTTTTCGTTTGAATTTTTAAAAGATATTTTTAATTTATACATTGTATTGTCCAAATAAATGTTATTGCGAGTAAACTTTCACATAAGTTGTAAGACAAATTTCTTTAATGATGTCATTCCATAAACTTTGTCTAAAACCATAGTCATTTACCGTGAATCCCGTAATGAAAATTAAGATGTCTAATGAATATAATAACAGGACTTACGTCAAGTGATTCTAGATCCAAAACATAGATTACAAGCAAGTTTTTCACTTGAATAATAGATAATTAAAGTCGTCAGGATTTTTTTCCACAACATTTGATATGATTTGTGAGGAATAGTAAAGTGTTTCTTTTTTAGAAAGGAAAAAAAATAAAAATAAAAATAAAAATAGAGGAACAAGAAAAGAAAAATATGTGATAAGATAATAAATAAGTGAAATATTTCCTAAAATATCATAATAAATCTTGTATATAATTGATGGTAACTTGATAAGTATCAGAAGTTTTATCCCTATAGACCATCGACATCACTAAAGAGATGAGGTTTATCACCATGAGACTTCGTAATACCATAATTTTCGATGACTAATCGAATTTTGATGTGCAGCATAATAAAATTATTATTTTTTAATTCATTAATACATGGAACATTAAAATTATATGTTTTCATTTTACAACTAAACCTTCAGATCAATCATAAGGCGAGATCCTTTAAGAAATACAAATCTTGAAATCTTGCATAAAATCATAATTTGTTACCATAAATCTCACATAAAGGATACAATCTTGCATAGAATCATAATTTGTTACCATAAATATAACATAATGAGAATCAAGTCATGACCTAAATCCAAGGATCTTAAATGTAAAATAAGATTCCTAAAAAGATAGATGGTAAAATGGATTAATTCCTCCACCTCTATCCCTTAAAAAAAGGGACAAGATAAATTGACCCGTTATAATTAAGTCAAACTACAAACATCAACTTGTCTCACCAAAAGGAGGTTGACGGGTTAGAGGACTAACTTGCCAATAATTTTTTTTATATAAATTTTTTTATATTTTTTTTAATTATATGAATAATTTTTATAATTTTATTTATTAATTAATATTTTTATTAAATAAATAATAAATTTATTATATTTACGTGATAAAATAAATAATTATAACCAATTTAAACTTAATTGACTAATTTTTATAATTTAATTTATAATATTATAATATATTTTCATATTTCAATAATATAAAAAATATTTTTAATTATAATTTTTTTATTTTAATTTTAATATATAAATATCTGTTGAAAGCATACTAGTTCATTTTATCTTGTTTTTTATCTATTGGGTTGATAAACTAAATAAATGAGACAAAACGAATTAATTGACAGACTGAAACTCGGAACTAACCTTTAATCTATATTAAGAGGTGTTTAGATTAGGTATGAAAATTTTTCACTTGAGTGACAATTAATCAAAGTGCACAGGATTTTTGGCCATAACATACATAAATTAATTTTTTAAAAATAAACTACACATTAAATAAAATGAAATTCATGGATTAATTACTCACATCTTGTTGCACGAGCAAGGGTTGCGAAATCCTCGGCAGTGTAGGAACAACCTTTGTGCTTCTGCATAATGCTGCAACCCAAGCAACCTGTGACAGCCAACATCAAAACCTCAACCACCGCCATCAATGGCATCAACGCCGCACACACACGTTCCCCTATTGTCCATGAATCTGACAAACCCTATTCAAAGTTACAACCAACCATATATACATGAATAATCATAAATCATATAAAGTAATAATAATGAAACATATACAATTTATTTTCCTTGATAATTTAAAACAAAAGATATTAAACTATCATTATTGTTGAATTTAAGGTATCTCAATCTCAATTTTATTATAAAAATATTATTAAATGAATAAATATATTATTTATTTTAAAACTTTAATCTATTATAATTAATTAGAATTAATATAAAAAATAGTTTTTTTTTCTTTTTCTTTTTAAAAATATAATTATAATGAATTAAAATTTTAAAATGATAATATCTTAAACGTCCTAATAACTTTTAATAATATTATTATGATTCAAAAGAATATTGGACCTGAACGGAAATGTTGAAAAATTCCGAAACACACCCAACCTGGGTGATTAAGGTGAAAAACTTACATAGGAATCCGAGTCCATGGTGGATGTTGTTGCTGGTTCTTCCTCCATCGCAGGAATAGAAAAGGAACTCATGGTGATGAGAAGAGAATGAAGGAGTAATATGAATGGTTTTGAGTTTAGTATTCTTTGTTATATGGATGGTCCTTCTTTCTCACTGCTGAATCAGTGCGGTGTATCTTCTTCATGATATGTGTCGTGTTGGAGGAATGTGTGGTGACAAATGACGGTGATTGATCAATACATAATCACGATTGAGCTGAAATTGCAATGAAAAGATCGATGGATAGTGCGTGTGGCACAGCCCAACCCACTTTCAGATAAGTTCCGAGATACGTGACGACAGTCCCGTGACCATACTTCATAATTGTACCGTCACATCCAGACAGAATATTACCATTTTGATATTAAAGCGCTCTGGCTAGATACAGACTCGACAAGTGGCAAAAATTTGGCCGTAAATACAAAAATTACAGTGACTAATTTACAAATACTATTTATAATATTAATAGTGATTAATTTATTTATATTTATGATAACATTCATCACTAAATTAAAAATTGTCACTGTATTTATCATAAATACTATTCATAATTAAGACAAAATTAAGAATTATTACTACAATGTTATAAAAATAATAAAAACATATATCACAAATAATTAGTTACTAATACAAAATGTTAACCAAGAATTTTTAGTAATGATGTTGTATCATAGAAGGGCCTATTCTCAAAAAATGTGCCCAAGATTAAGTTGAAAACCCCTAATTTATCTTTACCGTGTCACGAGTTTTCTCCTTCACCTTCTCCTCTGTTTCAAGTGTTCTGTTCATGAGTTTTTTAAGTACGTTTTGATTCTGAAGTTATATCACTCCCGTGTATATCTTTTTTAACCAAACTTAATCTTTGTTTTTTTTTTACCTTTGTTCTTGACTTAGCGTCACATATTATATTATTAGAAATAAATTTTGTTTTTTTATCATTTCTGAATAATTTACATCCGATTATAACAATTAATAGGTTTAGATTTTTATCCATTAATAATGTTTTTTTTATGTTCTTAGATCCTTTTTAACTTATTATCTATTAATGGTGTAACCTATTATTTTATCATGCCTTATACTTCTAATTTTTCTAAGAACTCCAGTGATTTAATTCATGGTGAGCCTGTGCTTAGTAATTGTGAGATATATAGGTCATGAATCCCATTGGAGATAAAAACTCTTCCTATTCTTAGGGGAAAGGGTTCCAAGAAGTGTTTATCGTTCAGTAAATTGAGAGTGAAGGTTGATGGAGGCATGTTATCCGAAGTTAATTGGAAATCAAGGTATTACTGATTAAGATACTTATTGAAAATAAATTGAGTGTGTATCATCTCAAAATTAAATGTAATTTTTTTTTAAATATCTATGGTTTAATCAAAATAGACTGAATTAAATGATAATTTTCATTCACCTAATTACTTTACAATATAAATATTTATAATAAAATAATAAATAAATGGATTAGGTCCCATAACTCATCAAACTTCTCGTATTTAACAAGAATGAGATTCGATGTGTATTATTTGTTGTTTAGGCATCACGGGTTATTGTTGATGAACACACGGACGAATTAAAGCACGTCTAAACTCTTTTCTCATTTTTTTTTTATAATCAAACTTTGACCCATTATCTTTACATAATAAAAAACCATAGGTAAGAAAAACAACGTCTGAGTTCTTATGTTGTCTTTTGTTGGATTTGTAATAACTTCTTGCAGATTTTTTATATCCTCGTGATTTTTTTGTTCGTATTCGTCCGTATGTTTCTTAAGGGTATCGATGACGACTTTAGGGTCTATATTGACACTGGAATTAGAGTCCCTTATCTGTGGGTTAAAATCATGGAGTAAAGGAAATCACAGAAATCTTTTTACGGAGTAGTATGGTAGGCGCTAAATATTAAGAGCATGTGATGAAATCAGTGATCAAGCTCCGAGTTTAACTTCAAAGTGATTAAAATATTTTTTTCTTAAAAAAATAAAAACTCACTTGCAACAAACACTCTAATGCTTAAGTTAATTTTTATACAAAAAAAATATTATATTTTAAAATGAATGATGATGTTTACTATCTTCTATATCTCTTTATATATAAACTAAAGATAATAAAATAGTAATTACTTAAAATAATAATAATTTAATGATAATAACAATAAAAAATATAATAATTGACAACATATTAATCATAACTAAAATAAATAAATAAATAATAATTAAATAAATATTTTTAATGAATTTAGAATGGTTATATGCAAGATAAAATAAATTAATCATATAAATGAATCAGTTTCTTTATTGCATAAATTATTATTTACTCTTTCTAACATAAAGGAAAAAAAAAAAGGGCGAGAATTGACCAATTCGAGTTGCTTACATTCCATTCGGTGCTATACATGGATTTTATCAACCGAGTGTCCGAGTTTAGCAAGGTGAGTGAGTTAAGTTTCAACGACTCTCAAAGTTTTATCTCGGATACTGAGTCGACTCGTTGTTTCGGTCGCTCGGCCAATCTGCGTCAAGACATCTCCCATTCTCCACCACCGCCGTAGCTATCCCCGTCAACCGTCTGCGTCGATGTCGTCTTCTTACGAGCACGACGCCGAGCCTCTCCGGCGCAACCGCATCCTCTCCAGCAAGCTCTACTTCGACGTGTCTCCGTCCAAGGTAAGCGAGTTCCCCACAGTCGCAGTCTTCGTGAGGCGAGTGTTTACGCCTTCGGTTTATCTGACTAATTCAGGTTCCGCTAATCTACTCCGAGTCCTATGACATAGCGTTTCTCGGCATAGAGAAACTGTAAGCATTTTCTACGCACTAACGTCCTTTTCAGAAGATTTGAATTGAATTGATTGTGAATAGTATGGGCGTTGTGTAACTGTTTGCTGATGGTTGCAGGCATCCGTTTGATTCGTCGAAGTGGGGACGCATTTGCCGATTCCTCGTTTCGTTTGGTATTCTCGACAAAAATTGCATCGTTGAGCCTCTGGAAGCTTCCAAGGACGATCTTCTAGTGGTAAGCGCTCTGTAATACTTAGTTAGGGAACGCCTTGTTTGGATAAACTTTTTGGTAAATACTTGTGGAAGAAGAAAGTGAGTTACAAATGTCAAAATCAACTAATGTACTTCAATTTAAGGACAAGTTACATAAGTTAGTTTCTATAATACTGAAGTTTATAAGTTGATTCCAATTAACAAGAGAAATGCATCTCATTTTATCTTCTTTTTAACAAATGTTTGTGAAACTTATGTACATCAATTTTTGGAGAAGTTTCATAAGAGAGTTCATACGAAATTGAAGTGCATAAGTTGATATTAATTAATGAGAGAATTTATCTCATTTTATCTACTTTTTTTTGTGTGTGAATTTTCATATAGAATTTTAACTAAATCAGTACTTAAATGGCATTTGACGTGTCTTTGGAAATTGTGCATGTATGTTTAAATCACATGTACAGCTGCAACAATCAATATATATGATTGAAACTGATGTGATTGAATCAAAATATCTAGTGCTAAATCTGTTTTTCATTCCTTTTTCTCTGAAGGTTCACTCAGAATCGTATCTGAATAGCCTGAAGGAGAGTTCAAAAGTTGCTATGATAGTTGAGGTACTTTCCACTCACTTGTGGCACGAGGCAGCAATTTCCGGTTTTGTTGGTAATACTTATTATTGCTCCTTGTTTTTTAACTTTGGAGCTCTTATATGGAAGGCTATCTAAAAATTGGTTTAAATGTTAATATTGTCTTTTAGAATAGAAAGTAATATGGTTGGAGTTTTTTAGTGTAGTTGTTTTACTATTTAGTTCTGGAGTTCTATATGATAACTGGTATGCGGTTGCCGAGGCTTTATATAGTTGATGCATTATGATGGGTTATTTACTGAGATAAATTACTAAAATATAGGTCCCTCCCGTGGCATTAATTCCCAATTGTCTTGTGCAACAAAAAGTTCTTTTTCCATTCAGGAAGCAGGTAAGTGAACTGTTTGATTCAAGTCTGTTTAGCTTCTCCCGAAATCTGGTCTTGCTCCTAATCTATTGGCAGGTTGGAGGAACTATATTGGCTGCAAAACTTGCTAAGGAGAGAGGATGGGCCATTAATGTGGGAGGAGGTTTTCATCACTGCTCTGCAGAAAAAGGAGGTGGATTCTGTGCTTATGCAGATATTTCTCTTTGCATCCACTTTGCTTTTGTTCAGTTGAATATATCAAGGTACTATCTTATTGCAAGTTGGTGTATTCTATTAATACTCGTGCAGAAGTTAATTGCAAAATTTTCAGGGTGATGATCATTGATCTTGATGCACATCAAGGAAACGGTCATGAAATGGACTTTGCCTATGATAGTATGTCCAAATCAAATTTACTCTGGTGTTTGATTTCTTATCATCTAGGGTTTTTACTAATACGGACTTTGTAATGCAGGCCGAGTCTATATCCTGGATATGTACAACCCTGGAATATATCCTTTGGTAATCTCCTTTATTTGTTTAACATAATTTTTCTTCCTATAGTAGTACTTTGAAGTGATTTTTCTCTGTTTCTCTTTTCACATTTGTCTTATCTATTCAACATTGCTCGCTGGCATCTGATGTGTTGCAGTGTCCTGCTATATTGTACATTTATATTGTCTAGTCCTTTTTTGAAATGAAGGATGGTTTTTTTCTGTGTGTATACATTGTGGAGTGGCATGAAAGCATATATTGCTATTTCTTTGTGCATTCCACTTGTAAAGAAGAGTGAGCTTTGCTACATTGGGAAGATTGTTGTCTTGTGAGTTGGTGATCATGTGTACTAGTCACTGAACATTATCTCCACTCTTAGGGATAACTTTGCAAATAATGACCCCTTCTAGATCACACATGGTTGGAGCCTCATCCACTAGGTGCTTCCCTTTTAATAACAACAACAACGTCCTTTTTCTATTGAGTGGGGAATAAGAACCTTGAGCTAGTCACCTCACAAAAGCTAGCCATTGTCATCAAAGTGGCTAAGACCCATCAAACCTCACACCAAAATCCATAACTCTAATTTGGGAGTCAAATCTCATACTTGCAATTAGATCCTAATATCCCACCATGAGTCACAGTTTCAACGTCAATGCAACCTCGATGGGTACTAGCTATTTAACTAGTCCTAGGTGAACATTGCAATATCGGCATCACCTCACCTACTACTTGATTGCGCTAAAAGATATGGTCAAGAACTTGTGATAAGAAAATTGGGACAATCATACCACAAAAATTTAGCCATTGTAGTTGGGGAACCCTGCTGGAATTATTAATCTAAGAATTGTATCTATCTTTGTACCTAGGTTTCTAGCTCAAACTTTAGTCCCTTGACTTTCCATCTACTCATTGTGTTTGTACTTTATCATTATAAATAAAGAGATTGTTTGATATTAGATATTATTAGTGACAATATCTAACAATATCTTATACTTGAAATAGATAATAGGAAAATAAAAAGATGTTTTTTTGAGAGCTTATCCTTTTCTCTTATGTTCTTTTATTTATAGGAGATAAAGATACAGATTCTGAGATACAATAAATAGGGAGAAATGATTAAACCTAGAGAAGATAAACAAATACATTCTAGGAACTAGGTCAATAGTTAGATACAACTAATCTAATAAATACTCAACACTCCCCCTCAAGCTGGAGCATACAAATTGTATGTATACCAAGCTTGGAACAAATGAATACCATTCGAGGCCCTCTCAAAGATTTTGTTAATGCATCTGCAAGCTGATCATTGGAACCAACAAACTCAGTACAAATTTGTTTAGACAACAACTTCTCCTAAACAAAGTGACAGTCAATCTCAATATGCTTAGTCCTCTCATGAAATACTGGGTTAGAAGTAATGTGGAGAGCAGCTTGATTATCATAATACATCTTCATAGGTTGGATTTCACAGAAATTCAGTTCTTGCAAGAACTGTTTTACCCATACAAGTTCACAAGTGAGAGACGTCATTGCCCTATATTCAGCTTCAACAGAGGATCGGGCAACAACATTTTGTTTTTTTCTTTTCCATGAAATGATATTACCTCCAAAGAAAACACAGTATCCACAAATTGCAAAATGCAAGCGGTTGACGAATTTGGAGTTGTAGATGCTTGAGCCAGGCTGGTTGATTTCATCCTTAAATATTCTTGATACTCTTCATGAGAGAACTTGGGCTCAACAACTTTAGATTTTGAAGTATTGGCTGTCTTATCATCATAGTCATGCAAAACAAAGCAATTTTCCTTAGTATGATCCATTCTTTTGCGATGAGTGCACTGACGACGTCCTCTATCACCATGTTCTCTATTGCCGTGATTTTCTCTTCCACGAGCAGAAATCATGCTAGAAGATTTAGCTAGTTCTTGACTATTTTTACCTTTGATAGATGGAACACAAAGTAGCCTTGTGATCAAACTCTCCATAGAAGGAACTTTTTGTCCAGTTAAATTTTGATCTCTAACATGATTAAATTCTGGATTCATAGCCTTAAGAATCATAACCATATTATCAAACTCTATTAACAGAATCATAGATCCATTGAATATCATTAGCAAAGATATTTTTAGGCCTTTTTCCAGAAGGAATTACATGTCTTGAAGGATCGGAGAGTGCTCAAAATATTTGATTCAACTGATTGCCATAATAGAGCATAGAGTTGATAATCAAGTTTCTTCTATTGAGGAGCCTGCTGGTTTTGTACTTCCATCGTCTTCTAGATGATCATGAACCCCTTGTCCTAGAAACCAGAGTTCAATAGAGGAGACCCAAGACAAGTAATTTTTTCCATTTAATTTTTCTGTTATAGTAGGAGTCCCAGAAAAAGATACAGATGTTGCAGGTCTCTGACATTTTTATTCAGGAAACAAGAGAGGACTCTTAAAAAAAAAATATCCAACAGGATGTTTGGAGAGAGAAGACTAAGAGCAATGAGAGAGTACCAAGAAACAGTGTCGTTTTGCTTGAACATAGAACAACTAGCGTTATGTGACAATGTATATGAAAAGGGTTACCAAACTTTTGGAACATAAAACAAAGGGTAGATCCAGCTTTAGGATGACGAGGCGAGCCAGATGGCGGTGGTTTGGAGCAAAACGGCCATCGGGAAGCGGCGGGTGAACCACACGCACAGAGGAAGTAGCGGATGAAGGTGGCGCGTGGCGGCATGTCTTACAGAGATGGCTGAAGCGACCCACAAATCCAACTTTAGGACGACGAGGCGAGCCAGATGGTAGTGGTCTCGAGCAAAACAACCATCGGGAAGGCGGCGTGTGAACCACACGCGCGTAAGAAGCAGCGAACAAAGGCGGTGTGTCTAGCAGAGATGGCTGAAGCGACCATCGAGGTTGGGTCGCGCTCCTCGAGTCAATCCTAACCTAAGTACGGTGAGTAAAACAATGCTGAGGGACGGCAGCGGACGATGGAGAAAAAGGAGAGACGGGCAGAGCGGGACGAACCTGCTCTGATACCAACTTGAAATAGATAATAGAAAAATAAAAAATGTTTTTTTGAGAGCTTATCTTTTTTTCTTATGTTTTCTTATTTATAAGAGATAAAGATACAGATTCTGAGATACAATAAATAGAGAAAATGATTAAACCTAGAGAAGATAAATAGATACATTCTAGGAACTAGGTCAATAATTAGATACAACTAATCTAATAAATACTCAACACTTATAATTACCATATTTATGTGTATTTGTCATATTTTTCTATATTACTTTTCATTATAAATATATTACCCTATATGTATTTTACATACAAGGGAGATTAATTCTATACCTAGTTTTCACTATATTCAACATGGTATTAGAGCAAAAGTCTAACTTTTGTCTGATTATTGTCTTGGGCCAAAAGTTTACCTTTCATTGTGAGTCAAAAGTACCATTTGTTGTTGTCTTGGGCCAAAATGCCCTTCAAATATCCTTTGCCTAGTCCGGTAAGCTTCGTTGGAGGAGGTGTGTTGGAAGTCCCACATCACTTGGGAAATCTATTGTTGGTTACAGGTGGATTTTTGCTATTAAAGTTGGTTCTGATGGTACTATTGACCGTCTCAAGACTCGTCTTGTGGCTAAAGGTTATACAAATTTTTTGTTTGGACTATGGTGATACTTTTTCTCCAGTGGCAAAGATTGTTTTTGTTCGTTTATTCATAGTCATAGCTGCTCTTTAACAATGACCTATTTACCAACTGAGTGTCAAAAATGCTTTTCTTAATGAAGATTTACAAGAATTTATATGAACAACCTCAAGGTTTTGTTTCTCGGGGGAGTCTTTTGAATTGGTATGTCGTATTCACAAATTTTTATATGGCCTAAAACAATGTCCTAGGGCCTGGTTTGGAAAATTTAACAGTGTTGTTCAACAGTTTGATATGCTTCGTAGTGAGGCAGATCATTCCATGGATCCCAATACCAAACTTCTACCTCTGTCAGATCTTAAGAAGTACAGAAGATTAGTTGAAAAATTAAACTATTTTATTGTTACTCGTCTTGACATTTCCTTTACAGTAAATGTGGTGGGTCAATTCTTAATTCTCCATGTGCAGATCATTAGAATGCAGTTATCATTAAAGGATCTCCTGGAAAAGGTTTGCTATATGATTATAATAACCAGGCTAAAGTTGTTTGTTATTCAAATGCTGATTGGGCAATATCTCTTTTTGATAGAAGATCTACTTCCGGATACTATGTTTCTAGTGGAGGTAACTTGATTTCTTGGAATAGCAAGAAATAAAGTGTTGTGACAAGATGTAGTGCAGAAGCAAAATATAGAGTTATGATCTCAACCACTTGTGAACTTGTCTGGTTTACATAATTACTTAAAGAATCCTAAATCGGAGATGTCACTCAAATGACACTTATATGTGACAATCAGTTCTTCATATTAGGTCTAATCTTGTTTTTCATGAAAGGACCAAGCATGTTGAGATTGACTGTCATTTTATTCAAGAAAATATTGTATCTTGAGACATTAAGATTAAGTTTGTTAACTCAAGTGAACAGTTAACAAATATTTTCACCTAGAATTGATTATATTTGTAATAAACTTGGTACATATGATTTATATGCACCAACTTGAGAAGGAGTGTTAGATATTGTTAGATATTATTAAATATTGTTAGTCATAATATCTAACAATATCTTATAATTATCATATTATGTATATTTGTCATATTTTCCTGTATTACTTTTCATTATAAATATATTACCTAATTTTTACTATTGTTAGATATGTTTAAATATTAGTTGATATTGTTGAGATATTGTTAATCACAATATCAAACAATATATTCCATTTATCCTATTTGTATTTTGTTACTCTTTTTAGTTGTATCTCTATTTATTATAAATACATTGTCCTATGTATGGTTAAGACACAAGAGAGATTAATCTCAAATCTTATTTTCTCTATATTCAACATGGTATCTAGAGCTCAAGGTTATTTTGAAATTTTTTCGCTTTTGTCCACTGCCACCACCGTCGCCGCTGCCAGAGCCATCGCCAGTCCTTTAAAAACCTAGACTCGTCACCAATTCTCATACCACCTCGCCGCACATAGCGTATTGCAGTGTTGTGATTTTGCAGCTCGCCAACCTTAACTTCGTTGTCTCCAGTGTTGTCGCTATCGCAGCCATCGCCTGCCGCCGTTGCCGTTCACCATCGCCGCCGCCGTCGGAGTGACTGTTCTGACCTCCGAGCACGGGGTTTTGCTCGCCTCGACCATGTGACCTCCACGGTGGAAGTTTCGCCGTCATCGGAGCAGCTAAACTCCTTCACGCACCACCCAAAGTCGCGTCACCATCTTGCCTTGCCGCAGTGCATGGCGGGGCGACGTCCCTCCATTCAGGCCGTCGCCACTTGCGCCGGACTCGCCTCATTGCCCTCTTCCTAGATCTGTTGTCGTTGCTCCAATTGGACCTCTTTGGTGTTTTAGGATTTTTCTCTCTCTTCCTTCGTGATATCTTCCGCTGCATCTTTCGACTTTGATAAATATTCCTATGCTCGTGACTAGATTTTGGATTTCCCTATTACACCCAATTTTATTTCTACGAGTTCCTCCCTTCTGCGTGTGCCATGCAAAGAGCGTCACAAGTGTGACCATTGTGGCAAGCTAGGCCACAAAATTGACAGATGTTATGTTTTACATGATCGTCCTCCTTGATCTGCTGTCGTTGCTCAGACTGATCCTTCCTCACAATCATCTGTTGTGGATCCTCCTTCATCTGCTCCCCCGGCAACAGACAAATCTATCATCTTCAATGATTTTTTAAATGGTATGAGGATCGTAAGCCTTCTAGTTCCACTGTTTCTGTTGCATTCACAGGTACATATTTTGCTGGTCTGACTCAATCTTCTTCTATTGGCCCTTGGGTTCTTGACTAAGGAGCCACAGATCACATTACTAGTAACAAATCTTTATTTTTCTCTTTCTTCTCTCCCCATAATTTATCCTCTGTTACAATTGTTAATGGGTCTACAACTTTAGCTCATGGTGTTGGAACGGTTAACTTTTTTCCTTCCTTATCCATTGATAATGTTTTATATGTACCTGGGTCCCCCTTTAACTTATTATCCATTAATCGTTTAACTCATTCTCTTGATTGTGTTATCTCTTTTACCAAACGTTTGTTTACAAGATCGGAGTTCGAAATAAGTGATTAGCACCGGATGTGAGTCACATGTTCTTTATCATCTTCGACCTTCTATACACGTTGGCACAGTTATGGAGTCTCCTTCTCTCCTTCATGCTCAGCTTGGTCACCCCAGTTTGACCAAATTACAACTTGTACCCAGCTTGTCCCAGTTGTCCAGTTTGGTATGTGAATCTGTCAATTAGGGAAACATAATCGTAATTTCTTTCCTTGTAGTGTTTCACAGCGTGCTTCATCCCCATTTGTCTTAGTTCACTCTGACATTTGGGGACCAAGTCGTGTAAGTCTAATTTAGGTTTTCAATATTTTGTTACTTTTATTGATGATTACTCCCGATGCACTTGGTTATTTTAATGAATAATCGTTATGAGTTGTTTTTCATATTCCAAACCTTTTATAATGAAATTAAGAATTAATTTGGTGTTTCTATTCAAACCTTCCAGAGTGATAATAGTCGTGAATGTCTTTCAAATTCTTTTAAACAATTTATGGCTTCTCATGACATTCTTCATCAAACTTCTTGTGTTTACACCTCAACAAAATGGGGTGGCTAAGAAACCAATGCTTTCCTCCTTCTCGCCAGAAAGCCCTCTTTCAGCCTGAAACCCATGTAGGATGGGATAGTCACACTCAATACTGACCGACCAGAAAACTCAGTCAATGGATTTGAAAACTTCCGTACCCAGCAAGAAAACTCCAGTAGCTAACGAGCAAGAAAAGGTAAGCCCTTACAAAGAGTGAAGAATCATACATTCAGTTTAAATCAATATACGCAGCAAGAAAACGATCATCAGTGAGTTCATGGACCGGAGTGGGACTAGAAGAAAGAAAGATAAGAATTTGCTTTCTGAACAAGTGCTGCGACACTTGGGTAAGGGGCGCGAGCGATCCTATCTGTCTTAAGTTCTGTAATACTTGATTTCCTCAGTCCCTTCGGTTCGGAATCAATATTTGAATTTGATCTGTGTCGGTGTCTTTCAGTAAAAATAGATTTCTCAGTCTCATCGGTATCAGTTTGATCTGTATTGGTATCTCAAGCAATTAAACTCCACTGCTTTAGTGAATAAAGGTAGCAATTCGTTGAATGTTTAGTCCAGTGCTTGTTTGCTCTCCTTGCTGCTGTCAATAGGTTCTCTCCAGCTGCCAACCACAAGAAGACCTGATAGACTGGACTGGGGCTTGCCCCGGAGGGGAAAAGAAAGAAAATCAAAGATATGACTAGTGATGTGACCCTTGGGTAAGGGTCACAAGCTATTCTCCCTCCTACTTGCACACCGGCTTTCGCTAACGTGCGTTCAGTATCGATCTTCTTTATTAAGTAAAAGATTGACTAGAATGCACTCACGAAACACTTTCTTAATGCTATTTCATGCTTTCGATAGTTACAGTCTCCGTTGCTGGTATTCTATATCTCATATCTAATTCTTAGCATTCTGTAGTAATTATCAGTCTCATCTCACATAGAGAGGGAAAGAGATTCTGAGTCTAGTTCTTCCCAAGGGAAATCCAACCTTTGAAACTAGTTCAAATCGAACTCAATGGTTACACAAAGTGTTCACCAGAAAGCTCTCAAGAGAGAGTCAAGGAAATTACGGAGGAAGGTTTGTAGCCTTTGGATCCTACTCACATTAGGCCTAGTGCTCAGGTGGTTTGGCCAATAGTGGGTCAAGAAATATGGAATGGGGATGTAGGGGGAGGGTTCCGAGGAATACAAATAACCTCTAGTTTTTTTCAAATTTGGAGAGCATCCGGAATAACTAATGAATTACAACTCTATTGTACTGCAATTGGTGCATTGGTCTTTGCAGCCTGAATGCTTTTTGCTGGTTGGTTTCATTATCACAAAGCTGCTCCAAAATTGGCTTGGTTCCAAGATGTAGAATCTATGTTGAATCACCATTTGACAGGGCTCCTAGGGTTGGGGTCTCTTTTTTGGGTAGGACATCAAATACATGTATCTTTACCAATTAACCAATATCTAAATGTTGCAGTAGATTCCAAGGAGATACCACTTCCTCATGAATTTATCTTAAATCGGGATCTTTTGGCTCAACTTTATCCGAGTTTTGCCGCGGGAGCAACCCCATTTTTTACCTTGAATTGGTCAAAATATGGAGAATTTCTAACTTTTCGTGAAGGATTAGATCCGGTAACTGGAGGTCTATGGCTGACCGATATTATACACCATCATTTAGCTATCGCAATTATTTTCTTGATAGCGGGTCACATGTATAGGACCAACTGGGGTATTGGTCACAATATCAAAGATATTTTAGAGACACATAAAAGTCCATTTACATACCAGGATCATAAAGGTCAAAAAGTATTCGAATAAAATCAAAAATCAATTTGGTAAAGTAATTAAAACCTTAAGAAGTGACAATGCCAAAGAGTATTTCTCCTCTCATTTTTCTGCAATTTTAAATTCGCATGGCATTCTACACCAAACCACCAGCCCTCATACCCCTCAACAAAATGATATTGCTGAAAAGAAAAATAGACACTTGGTTAAGACTGCTCGTATTCTATTACTTAGTATCAATCTAATGGTCCATCATTAGGGTAATATGGTTCTAAATGCTTGTTTTCTTATTAATAGAATGTCATATTCTTATTTCAATAAGATGATTCCTTATTACATTCTTTTTCCCATAGACTCTCTTTCATATTTCTCCTCGTGTGTTGAGTTATGTAAGTTTTGTTCATGGTTTATCCCCAGGAATAAATAAACTTTGTCCAGCCTATCAAATGTGTCTTTTTAGGCTACTATCGACTTCAAAAAGAATATTGGTATTACTCTTCTGAAACAAAGAAATACTACATGTATATCTATGTGACTTTCTTTGAGCAGACTCATTTCTTCTTTTTGTTTGTTCAAGATGTTAATTCCATCTAGAAGATACTACCAATTTCATTAGTTGAGTCAATTGTTCCTTGTGTCTCGGACGATCCCAGTCCTATCACACATCCTCCTAAACCATCATCACGTCCTCTCCTCACCTACCAACGTCAGAACCAAATGACTCGTCCAACGCTTCAAGGTGGAACCACTTCTTCCAATCCTTCTCCATCATCTCCTTATATTGTGACTCCTCATCCTGATGATTAAACCCTGTCCATTGCCATCAGAAGAGGTACCCATTCTACTTGTAACTCACATCTTATTTCTAATTTTTTAGTTGTCACAAATTGTCTCCTTATTATTATTTTCTATAATTGGTGTCTTCCATTATTGCTCTTGCCCAGAATCACACATGGAACTTGGTACCCCTACCACTTGGGGAGAAAATAGTGGGATGTGGATGGGTTTAAAGTTGGCTCAAATGGGGAAGTTGATCATCTCAAGGCATACTTATTTGCTAAAAAATACACTAAGATTTATGGACTTGATTATAGTGATACTTTTTTCCCAATGGTCAAACTGACTACTATTTGTTAATTCTTTGCCATGGTAGTCATTCGTCACTGAACACTTCATTAGTTGGATATAAAAAATGCATTTTTTCATGATGATCTTGAAGAGAAGATCTATATGAAGCAACCTCCTAAATTTGTTGCGCAGGAGGAGTCAGGCTTGGTTTGTAAGTTACGTCGCTCCCTATGTTGTCTTAAACAAGCTCCATTGTGTAAAATTTTGGGTTAAAACGAAATGAAGCCAATCATTCATTCTTTCATTGTCATACTTCTCCTAATAAATGTATTTACTTAATAGTATATGTTGATGATATAATTATTACAAGGAGTATGCTGCCAAAATATCTCAACTAAAGTAACACTTAGCTAGCATTTTCAAATCAAAGATCTTGGAAGTCTCAAATACTTCTTGGGTATTGAAGTAGCTTAATCAAGGAAAAAATGTTGTAATATCTCAAAAGAAGTATGCACTAAATATTTTATAAGAGATAGGTATGATTTCCTCTAGACCAGTAGATATTCCTATGAATCCAAATAAAAAACTAATAATGGAATAAGGTAAACTGTTCTCTAATCCATAAAGATATAGAAGACGAGTTGGAAAACTTACCTATCTTACCATTTCTAGACCTGATTTGTCTTTTCCAGTTGATATTGTTAGCCAGTTCATGCAAGCTACTTGCATTAATCATTGGAATGTCATCATTTGTAAGATAAGGTTTGCTATATGAAGATAAAGACAACACTCAAATATCTAGATATTGTGATGTTGATTGGGCTAAATCCCCTTCTGATAGACGCTCTACTACAAGATATTGTGTTTTTTCTTGGAAGAAATATTATTTCTTGGAAAAACAAGAAACAAAATGTAGTGATCCAATCAATAATCGAAGTTGAATACAGGTAATTACATCTGTTGCGAACTTGTATGGGTAAAATAATTCTTTCAAGATCTTAAATTCTGTGAGATCCAGACCATGAAAATGTATTGTGATAATCAAGTTGTTCTTCACATTGCCTCTAATATAGTATTCCATGAGAAAACGAATTATTGGATCTAATGACCAATTTACAGATGTATTAACAAAATTATTAAGGGGTCCTCAGATTGAGTTCATTTGTTCCAAATTTGGTACATACAATTTGAATGCTTCAGCTTGAGAGGAGTGTTGGAATTATTAACATAAGAGTTGTATCTATCTTTGTACCTAGGTTTCTAACTCAAGCTTTAGTCCCTTGACTTTCCATTTACTCATTGTATCTATATTTTATCATTATAAATAAATGGATCATATGAGATGTGTGATTAAGCCTTCTAAAACATATCTTTTCTTCTTTTTTACTTGTAAGTAACTGAAAACCTTGTAAACTTCACTACTAAATTTTGTACTTCCAATGTGGTCTTGATATCATTACATGGTTCAAATGATGATTTTGTATTAAAGAGAAAAAAACCTAAATTTTGTAAAGGCCATTTAGATCAAGGCCCCGTTTTTTGTTTAACTATTTCTCTTTAAAAAATTTTGGGTCTTGTGTTTGTGGAGGTAACTTTCATATAACTTCGTTTCTGAGGCTAATCTTGATATTCTTAATAGTTACTAGGGCCTCCTTTACTGGTCTTCTCCACACTTGTTAAATCCAGTGGTGAAAACCTATTCAAATACAAGAAAAAAGCATTTATATCAAGCACTCAAGCTAAAACATGCTACAATTTTGTCTACTTGCATCTGCAATTGTCTTGTAAATGATGTATGCAGGAAGCTATAAAATGATTTGGGTGAAAAATTTATTGAAATGGGTTAAATAACACATTAATGACTACTGTTTTCTAAATAACAATGCTTCATTGTGTGTTGGAAGTATGTTTGTGCTGATTATAGAGAAAAAGGCCAAAATTTTGTGAAGATGGAAGGTCCATTGTCAACAGTTAACTAATATTTGTTTTTAATTTAAAATATGCATATATTCTGATATGGTCATCATAATTTTATCATTTTGAGACCAACTTATGTCTTCTATATCAGGATTATGAGGCAAGAAACTACATAAATCAGAAAGTAGAAGTAAAGGTATATTCAATCTTTCAGTTAAAGCTGAATCATATTTTGTTTTCTGAAATTTCTTTTTTAGATTCTGTCACCTCATATGTTTCCCCTGAACTTTCAGAGTGGGACACATACAGAAGAGTACCTGCAAAAATTAGATGCAGCACTAGAGGTATGTTACATTTTCATTGTAAACTTTTTATTCTCTGATATTATTGGCTTGAATACTCAATGCATAACTAGCTTTATGTATAGCTGTGTGCCTATACTCTTCCACATTTCTATATCCTATCCTATCGAAGTCCAATTATATTAACTGTTCATTTGATTCATGGTGTGCTTTATCTTTCCCTTTATTTAAAAAATGAAAACACGGGGGAAAAGAGAGCATTATCGTCACCTCCTAATCCCAACCCTTCTCTTCCCTCTTATTCTCCTTCCCCCCTTTCCCCTTTACTCTTAACTTCCAATCATACCCATAGCATAGCATAGAATTGTTTATCTGGTTAAGAAGGTATACTAACGTTCAAGTTCGTATAATAACTTTTGATTTTCATGTCAATGTGATTCAAGGTTGCTGGGCGTAGGTTTAACCCTGAGTTGGTAATTTATAATGCGGGGACTGACATCCTGGAAGGAGATCCATTAGGAAGGTTGCAGGTAATGTCATTCTTGAATGTGCTTTATTGCAGTAAAATACCACCTCTGAACGCAAAATTAACTACTTTTACACCGATTAAAAATATTAATAAAGAGGTACTTTTACTAAATTATCCTCAGTTATATTTATTGGGATGATTGCTGAAGTTTAACGATAAGAGTGTTTTTTTGAAATAGTAAAATTAAGGTTGTGGTGATCGAAATTTGATATATTTAGGTCCACCAAACATGACTCTATTTTGCTTATATTTGAGTCCACAGGGAATATACATTCTTATTAACTTTAGCTGCCTAGTCATTTGCTCTTATATGTAGTTTGTATATGAAAGGAATGGTCATTATTCTGAGTTAGTGTTTTAGTTAATTCCTTTACTACTCACCATAGGTAGTGCTTGTGCTATTTATTTTATACACACAGATCAGTCCTGAAGGAATTGCCCATAGAGATGAGAAAGTTTTCCGGTTTGCTCGTGAGAATAACATTCCCATCGTCATGCTCACTTCAGGTTTGCTATTGTTTTCCTCCTCATATCATATGGTAGCTACTATAACCTTTTGTGTGCAAAGGAAACGTATTACCTAACAAAGACCTAGTCTAATATTGCAATTGCAATCTTTAGTCATATATTGTTGCCTTCTTTTAGTTGTAGTTTGTGTATTTTTCTTTACTTTTTGCAAGCATCTTATTATGTTAAGAAAGTAATATGAAGGAAACTTGAAATTACCTCGTCTTTTGTCTATAACTTCTCAGAGGTTTATCTTTATATGTATGATATCTATGCAAAAAATTTAAAATACTATTTGTTAGCCAGTTGTTTGAGATTGAGGTCCTAACTTTCTTTATTGGAAGATACAGTATTGAAATGCCATGTTGTCATCCTCATAATCATTCATATGTTGTGTCGAAAGATTCTTAGAAATTTGATACACCTAAATGTGATCAAATAACATTTAATGACATGAAAATATGAATAATCAGAACTTACAATTAATAAATTATTTATAATACAATCATTTTTAGATGTTTTTTGTTTAATCTTCTGTAACAATTGAGAATAGAAGACCCAATTGCTACTGTACTCACCCTTAGCTCTCAAGAGTAACAGATTAGCAACTCTATAATTTTCTTGATTGACCTCCAGAATTTACAAAGGGTGTTTATTTATAACCCTTGATTCCCAGTACAACTATATTTCCCCCAATTAACCACTAACTTCTATTTATTTTTCTCAAAATAATAATAAAAACTAACTTTGCTAACAAATCCCTAATTCCACTTATTACAATTATCCCCCCTTTGTCCTCAAGACCATATATCATGCTAATGAAAATCTGGAAATTGATGTTGCATAGTATGTAGTTCCTTCCAAACTGCATCTTCGGGTTGGTATGTTGGCATTGGATCAACATCTCAGTAACAACTTGATGACCCTTTTTCTTCATTCTTCTGTCTAAAATTGCCAATGGTTGTGGCTGCATCTCATCTTCATTATATAATGGAAGCTCAGTAACAACACTGTTATGAATCCAACCCCAAAAATGGGGAATATCCAATCCCAGTAATCTGGAGAACTGCAGAATATTCATTCTGCATATAGACTAAATGGAAGAAATTATTTGAAGTGGGCCCAACTTGTTCGTACAGTGTTGAATAGAAAGGGGGTAGCCGAACAGAAGAAAGGAGGATCAACAAATGTGGAGAAGAAATGTGATGGTCTCTGGTGTACCTACTGTAATAAGCCTCGTCATACTCGAGAGAAGTGTTGGAAGTTACATGGGAAACCTTTAAATCGAGATCGAGAAGGGGGACACAGAGGAGACTCCTTAAGGAAAGGAGGACAAGTTTATGTTGCTGCTGAAACAAATGAAGGAAATAATCTAGAAGTTGCTACCCATCTTAACCAAGAGGAGATAGAAAGGGTTAGAACCTTTCTTAGTAAGCTGGAAAAACTTATAGGTGTGTGTTCTTTGGCATATTGGATTAAATGTCTCAGATACACCTTTTAACCATTATTGGATATTGGACTCTGGAACCACAGACCACATGACACTATTAGCCAAACACTTCTCCACATATTCCCCATGTCCTAGCAACAAGAAAATTGTCATAGCAGATGAAACCCTTATAACTGTAGTTGGTCAAGGAAATATCCAAATCAATCCTTTAATAACCTTAAAAGATGTTCTCCATGTCCCAAAGCTGTCCACCAACCTAGTGTCTATACAAAAACTTATAAAGGATTTGTCATGTAAAGTTGTTTTTTTCAATGATCATTGTGTATTCTAGGACAAGGATTCGGGGAGGATGATTGGACATGCTAGAGAATGGAATGACCTTTATTATCTCGAAGATCCAAGTCTGTCCAGCAAGAATAGAATTTTTCACTCCTTCATATCTAAATCCTTGATGACCAACACAGAAAGAAAATATGCTTTATCATTGTCGGTTAGGACATCCCTCTTTTGGAGTGATCAAAATTATGTTTCCCTCTCTGTTTACCAAGTTAGATGTTGACAGTCTTCATTGTGAGATGTGTGAACTTGCTAAGCACAAGCGTGTATCTTTTCAAATAAGTAATAAAATTAGCAATTTCCCTTTTTATCTTATTCATACTGATGTATGGGGACCTTCTAATGTTCCAAATGTGTCTGGTGCTCGATGGTTTGTCACCTTTATAAATGACTGTACAAGGGTCACTTGGGTTTTTCTACTTAATTCTTTTTGTCAAAAAGAAGGTATAATTCATGAGTCCTCTTGTGTCAAAACACCACAGCAGAATGGGGTCGCAGAGAGGAAAAATGAACATCTATTAAATCAGACTCGGGCATTGTTGTTCCAAAAAAGTGTCCCAAAAAATTTCTAGGGGGAAGTTGTCCTTAGAGCAACATACCTTATCAATAGACTACCCTCTAGAGTCTTAGGATCAAAAAGCCCTATGAAAGTTTTGTCGTCTTTCTATCCAAACCTGTCCACTACAAATAATCTTAAACAAGAGTTTTTGGGTGCATCTCATATGTCCATATTCATAGTACAACCCTTGATCCTAGAGCCTTAAAGTGTGTCTTTGTTGGTTACTCACCCACTCAGAAAGGGTATAAATGTTACCACCCCCCATCCAAAAAATTCTGTGTCTAGGGATGTTACCTTCAATGAACAAGAGGGCTATTTCCATCAACCTTATCTTCAGGGAGAGAGTTTCAGGGAAGATAAGGAAAGTAGTAATTCTGGTTTTCCCATTCTTCCAGACTTGATATTTGAACCTAAACGAGATCAAATTGAAAGTAGTAATTCTGGTTTTCCCATTCTTTCCGACTTGATATTTGAACCTAAACGAGATCAAATTGAAGCTGTAACAAGTGAAACAAGTCAAGGAATTGGTCAAGAAAAGGAAGTTGGTCAAGAAAGTGAAATTAATTGTGAAGCTGATCAAGAAGATATTAAAGCTGGAAAATTTGGTAAGAAGCTGGTGTACTCAAGGAAGACTAAGGTCATTCCAGGATCAAGTCATGTTCAAGAATCCAACTCGACTCCACAAAAAAGAGGTAATAATTTTTTCTCCAACTATGCAGGTTGAAATTGAAACCCAAAATGATCCTGACCTCTCAATTGCCATGAGAAAAGGGACAAGAAAATGCACCAAACAAACACTCTACCCTCTCTCAAATTATCTGTCCTTTAAAAATTTCTCTCCTACCCATAAAACCTTCCTAGTAAACCTAAACACTGTACTTCTACCTAATACCCTATCTGAGACATTGTCTGACAGAAAATGGATGGATGTAGAGATGGAGGCATTGGAGAAGAACAATACCTGGGAGTTAGTCACCTTACCAATAGGAAAGAGGCCAGTTGGATGTAAGTGGGTCTATACAGTGAAATACAAGGCTGATGGATCAATTGAGAGGTATAAGGCAAGACTAGTTGTCAAAGGGTTCACCCAAATCTATGGAGTTGATTATTTGGAGACCTTTGCTCCGGTTGCCAAAATGAACACAGTTAGGGTGATATTGTCCCTTGTTGCCAATTATGGTTGGAACTTGGAACAATTTGATGTTAAGAATGCTTTCCTACATGGAGACTTGAAGAAGAAATTTATATGGAGATATCTCCGGGATATGGTAGAGATGTTGTTGCCAACACTGTTTGCAAGTTGAAAAATACATTATATGGGCTAAAACAGTCCCCCCGTGCATGGTTTGGTAGGTTTACTAAAGTTATGATAGGTCTGGGTTACAAACAAAGCCAATGAGACCATACTTTGTTCTTTAAACATTCCAAGTCAGAGGGAATAACAATATTATTGGTGTATGTGGATGACATAATATAAACTGGAGATAATAAAGAAGAGCAGCAATTGTTGAGTTAATGTTTAGGCAAGGAATTTGAGATCAAGACCTTGGGAAAACTAAAATATTTTTTGGGAATTGAAGTTGCCCACTCCAAGAAAGGGATATTTATATCCCAACAGAAATACATCACTGATTTGCTCAAGGAAACTGGCAAGGCAGCTTGCAAACCTCCTAGTACCCCATTATAACCAAACTTAAAGCTTAGAAATGCAAAAGAAGATGTTGTTGTTGAAAAAGATATCTACCTAGTTGAGAACCAAGTTGTGTTCTTGTAGTATTTCGAGGGCGGTACGCAAACATTGAATGTGATCTGACCAAGTCTTTGTATAAACTTAAGTATCATAAAAAAAAAAAATACCAAAATGAACTTCTTGAGATGCTCCCTGAATATATCATTCATCAAATTTTAGAATGTGCTTAGTGCATTACTCAATCCAAAAGGTAAGACCACCCATTCTTAGTGTCCACAATGTGCTTAGTGCATTGCTCAATCCAAAAGGTAAGACCACCCATTCTTAGTGTCCACTATGAGTTCGGAAGGTTGTTTTATGAATATCCGCCTCTAACATTCTTACTTGGTTATAGTCACTTCATAGATCAAACTTGGAGAAATAATGGGCACCATTCAATTAATCTAATAGGCCTTTTATCAAGGGAATAGGAAACCTGTTTTTTATTGTCAAAGCATTTAGTTTCCTAGAATCAGTACAACATCTTCGTGAACCATCTTTTTTCTTTACCAACACTAAAGGAGATGCATAGCAACTTCCACTTTCCCTGATACAATCAGTTGTAAGCAAGGTCTTGACTTGTCTTTCTATTTCTTCTTTTTGGGTATGTGGATACCTGTATAGTTTTAAACATAATGGTTTATCACTGACTTGATCATACCGTCCTTTTGGAAGAAGAGTTATGGGCTCCTTGAATAATTGTTGATAGTTCTCTAATAGTTGAGTCAATTCAGATTGTTGGCTATAGGGTAATTTGTGAAGATCTTCATGTACTGAATCACTGTAGCATAATGATCCTTGTAGAGCTAGTAATATGGCATGATATTGAGTTGGCTTAAACTTACTAGTCAGTTCACAAATATCATTTGAAGGATGTTCACCTTGTAGGCAAACTAGTTTGCCTTTGTGTTCAAATTTCATCGTCAATTTGGCATAGTTCCAATTGATCTCTCCTAGTATTTTAAACCATTGGGCATTCCAAGGATTACACCAAAAGTACTGATAGGTAACACTAAAAAGTCAACTTGAAAAATATGATCATTAAATTTTCATTCAACTTGAGTACAACTTCTAATGATGACTAATTCTTTATCTGATGCAACCATCACAGGGAAGTTTCTTATACTTTGAAATTTTAGCCCAAGTGTCTTCACTCAATTGGCACTTATAAAATTGTGTGTACTCCTTTTATCCATTAAAAATGGCACAGCGTGTTCCTTAATCAACCCTTTCATTTGAAGAGTGTTATCAACAGCCACACCTTGTAAAGCATTAATGGATATATGAATGTTTGCATCCCTGATTAAATTTAAATTATTCTTTATTAATTTGGTATC